AAAAAAAAAAAAAAAAAAAAAAAATGGGGGAAAAAAAAAAAAGAGAGGGTAATTAAAATAAGTAATGACAGGTAAAGAAAAAAAAAAAAAAAAATAAAAAAAAAACCGACCCATGTCTTGCCCAAAAAAAAAAAAACAAAACAAAAACAAAATAAAAAAAAAAAAAAAAAAAAAAAAAAAAGAAAAAAAAAAAAAAAAACAGCTCACAAAACGTCCTAAAAAAATATTATTCCGTCGCGCGGCGAGAGAAAACAAAGACAAATATAAGAAATTAAGAAAAATAAAAATAAATAAAATAAAATAAATCTATTCCTTTCCTTGTGAAATGGGGGTAGAGAAGAAAAAAAGAGAAGGCGTTACCTCCGTCATCTTTCCCCGTCTGCTCGTTAAATGACGGTGCTGAGTTGGAGACTGAGCAGATCAAAACATGCGGACGCTGCCGTGTTGGCCACAGCTGACGAACACGTCGGTGCTCTGGGCGCAGAACCGGACGTTGTAGACCTCCCTTGTCATGGGCGATCAGCTGTGTTTTTGCGGTCAAAGACGGGATGTCCCAGATGGTGCAGGTCGTGTCTATGCTCGAGGTGATAATCAAGCTCGGGTTGACCGTGTTCCAGTCTAGCGAGGTGAGTGGTGCGGTATGGTCAGGAGTTTTGGAGTTGGACAAGAGAGCCAGGGGAGTGAGTTTCGTAACGGGGGCGTCTCGGCCGTTTCTCGATGTTATGGATGAGCCGGGAGTGGCTGTTTGGGTATCAGAGGGAAGCGACCAGAGCCGGAGGTGGTCGCCTGAAGTGGCAAGCAAGTCAGTAGATTGCTTTTGTGACGACGGCGGTTCCCATAGCAAACGGGTAACCGGGGTAGGAGTGGGTGGCCTCGGCAATCCTTGTAAAATCCATGGACCATTTAGGTCCTCCAGGAACGTAGACGTCGGATGGCGTGGGGGTGAGTTGCGCGTCCAGAATTTGTATCTAGGCGTATGTGGTCAGTAAACTGTCAGGAACGACAGCACTCGGGACACTTACAAAGTTATGCCCGTCTTCTAAATAGCTACCAATGGCGAGCTTGCCGGCACTGTTGGCTTGAGGGGCCCATTTGCACCAGTCGAAGGCATATAGCGCCCAAGGAGCCATGTAATTGCTCGTTCTTGACTGTGTGCTAGCTAATTCGTACCCAGGCGTCCCGGGCAAGCCATCGGATAGACTCGAGTCGGCGCGAGGACGAATATCGGCGAGTCCGAGAGGAGTATTGGAGATGTTGCGCGAGCCCGCGGGGTTGTACTTCGGATCAGTTGGGGACATGTACTGCGTGGAGGCAGCGGTTCCACCGGGGGTAGTCGGGGTGTATGGATGGTAGCCCGTTCCGCCGGCCTCGTAGTGCGCGGAGGGGCTCGAGCGAGAGTAGCTATGCGACAGGCTCAGCGAGTTGTGCTTGGGCTGTGTTTGGTTCTGGTGCGACTGGTAATCTTGCTGTTGCATGCTCGGGAGAGTCGGGGCGGCGTTTGAGGGAAGTGTGGGCGGTCGGGGGCCCGATCCCCCGGGCTGCAGCACATTCGGCACGGGCGCGGAGCCCTGGTAGCCCTGCGACGCTATGTGCAGGTCATCGTAGGCGCCTGTCCGCCGCTGCGGCTGGTACTGAGGTTGTTGGTTCATTTAGACGAAACCGTCGACGATCGAGGAAAGCGGACAGGTCCCGAATCGGAATCGTCAAGGTTGGAAATGGAGGATTGAGAATCGAGCGAGCGCGGGGTGTTTGCCAGGGGCACTCGATGGAGGTAGTAGGTCGTTCAATGCCCGGCAGGGCAAAACGAAAAGGTAATCGCCGGGTCCAGCCACAGGAGAGGAGCTGGTGGGCACGGGAGCCCAGGAGCAGCAATGGCGGTTCTGTGGTTAAACCGTAAGGAGTGTGCGTGAATGGAAGCAAGTGAGGTGAGCTTCAAATGGATCCGTCTGTCGTTCGAAACCCAATGTTCCCCCACTGCCTGTGTTCCTTGCGGCTGGGTATGGGCAGCCGCCGCCACAGGCGCTTCTAAGTGCGGGGCGAGACAGCCGCTCATCATTGGCTGTCTCAGGCGGTGGGTCGACGTTGTTGTGCAAGGATCGTGCTGACCCCAGCCTGCCCATCATTGCCACCCCGCAACCATCCTTGGACTGGCACAGAGCTCATCGAGAGATCGTGATTTGTATATCTCACTTCATGGAGACAAGTTGATATTTAATTATGGTACGGGGTACTAGTTAAATTTTCAACTTTTATCACTTTCTTTCATCTAAAACTCGCCAAGAGCCAGTCTAACTGGTATCCCAAAGCTAAATACTCTTGACCCCACCCCCGCCGAGGTTGACCTCACCGAGGCACCTACCCTCTTGCCTCAGTTGCTTGAGCTTTCATCATATATTTTATTTCACACTTGCCTTTGGAGCAACACAACATTCTCAACCCATCAACTACCAGTTATTCAGACATATACGTACATCTTTCAACCAACTTCACTACACTCTTCCCGCACCACTCGGCCATTCACCTCCTCGGATTCGTCCCAGATTCCCAACCTTCATTCTCCCGACTTTTATCTCGAACCTCCGGGCCGTTACATCATGGGGCTGGGCGACCACCCGTCGCTCTTGATGCTCCCCTATCCTCCCAACCCTCTCACCCGCGACTCTCTCAGCGCCGCCTACCGGCCCTCCCTCAAATCCGCACTCGCAAAGGTGAGGCGCCCAGACGGTGCCGCCCAACTCACCGTCGCCATCGCGTGCCCCGTGCTCCAAGGGCAATTTCTCCGTTCCAAAACCCTTTCATGGCCTGACGCCCAGACGCTCGTTGCCGGCACTTACGGTCTCATCTCAGTCCTATGCGCCGAGCTCTCGATCAACACTGAGGTAAACGGCGGGCCGGGCTCGGTCGACTCAACCGTCGTCTTGATTGACGATGACCGCAACAAACGCTATCCAGTCGACTTCCGCCCTGCCATCGAGCCCAACAACACCGTCGTCGTCGACATGGCCACCTTTGCCTCGTCCCACTTCCCCTGGAATTTGATCTTCAGCGTTAGAAGCGAGCTTGGATTCCAAGTGTCACAGGCGTATCTCAAGTTTGCCGAGGGGCGGCAGAACCTGCTTCAGTCACAATTAATCCCGGTGGAGGGCGGCCTGGTGCTGAATGTCGCAAAGAGCGACCCATCGGCCGTGGCGCCACAGACATCGACGTACCCCACGGTTTGTCTGGGGGGAACGTTTGATTACTTGCACCCAGGGCACAAACTTCTGCTTACGGCCGGCGCCCTCCTGCTTCAAGTCCCCCGGAGGGGCGACCGTGTTCCGCCGTGCCGGTACATCATTGGCATTACGGGGGATGAGATGTTGCGGAACAAGAAGTTTGCCGAATATGTGCAGACCTGGGAGGAGCGGGCGCGGAACGTCATCTCCTTCCTGGCGCAGCTCCTCGAGCTCTCGCCACGGGGGTGGAAAGACAGCACATCCCCCCAGATTGAAGAGAAAGACGGCGACTTTACGGCGACCTTCCGGGACGGCGCGATCCAAGTCCGCTGCGTGCGAATTCAAGACGCCTTCGGGCCGACCATCACGGTTGAGGATATCCAGGCTTTGGTGGTGTCTGCCGAGACACGGTCAGGAGGGCAGGCTGTGAACGAGAAGCGTGCTGAGAAGGGCTGGCATGCGCTTGAGGTCTTTGAGGTCGACGTGCTGGATGCTGAGGAGGTCTCGGATGAGTCTACCAAGACGGAGAACTTTGCGTCCAAGATCAGCAGCACTGCTATTCGGCAGCAGAGGGCGGCGAGAGGCGGGACCAAAATATAATTACGAAGGAAGGGTATGCTCGTGGTTGCGTTTGGAAACCAAACCATCCCTACCCGGCTTAATCGCAACTCAAGTGTAGCGGCAGTCCTCTAAAGTCTTCTGCTTCGTTGTGCACCTAATTCCTAGGTACCTTAGAATAATTAAGACAAAACTGCCGTTCGTGCACAGCCTAAGGAGCAGCAACCAAAGCAACACTCTTGGCTTATTTTTAAGACATGACTGTGTATGCATCATCAGCATGGTTACCTACATAACTTGGCCATGATGCGGTGCGTGCAATGGCCAATCCCAAAGCCTTCCTCAGTAACCGCTGCCCGACCTGTCTCATCGTGCCGCGCCAAAACTGGCTCTTGCCCGAGACCCGAACACCCCCCAACATCAACTTCCCTTTGCCAACGGAAGAAAACAAACAAACTTGGGTACTAAAAGCCTGGCTACCAAACTTCCTTCACGATAATATTTTCCCAGCTCTGACCATTACATGCATTGTAGCAACCCCTCTCTGGCCTAACTTTCGCCTGTTGCTTTTCTCCTCAAGCCTGCGCTCTTGGTCTGGAAGCATCCAAGCGGCCTACAAAATCCAGGGAAAAGATGGACCAAGTTGTTTCCTCGTCTGGCCCCGCACGCTCTGCCGCGAGCGCAAGGGGTGCAGAGTCCATTAACCTGCTCACTATTGACGCCAAAGGCTTGCAGTCGTTGTTGGCCGATAGAAAATTCACAAGCCTGGATCTCGTTCGACAATGTCTCGCTCAGATTCAGCAGCACGACGGTTACCTCCACGCCATGATCGAAACGACGCCAGTGCATATCCTCGAGGAAACGGCCACATCGCTTGACCGGGAGCGGGCGGGTGGAACTCTGCGGGGGCCGCTCCATGGAATCCCAATTCTTGTCAAGGTCTGTTGCGTTGAGTGATCCGAGAACTAGACTTCTTTTCGATCTGCCTCGGAATTAGAGCCATTGCTGACATTTTTAGGACAACATCAACACCCCGACCTTGGGGCTTCCGACTACTGCCGGTAGCTTCGCTCTGCTGAACTCGAAAGCACGAGAAAACGCCAAAATTGTCGACCGGGTGAGTTAAACCAATGCACCACCGACAAGTCAAACCATTTATTGATATTTGGCGTTTCTTTAGCTCATGAAGGCTGGGCTTATCATCCTTGGAAAGGCGAATCTCAGCGTGAGGGAACCCCAAACCATCAAATATCTCAAGCCATCGTACATGTACATATACTTCTATTCATCTGCTAACAGCTATCTGCCATCCTTAGGAGTTTTCTAATTCCCGGTAACAAGTCGACGAAGCCACTTTGATATGACTACCGTACCGTCTGACACAGAGCAGGGGATCGGATATGCCGAGCGGTTGGTCCGCTGTGGGCGGACAGGTCCAGTCAGCATATATCGCCGGCGGCGTTGACCCGACTGACTCCAAGGATGGTCACTCGGTCCGTTATCCTAAGAGTCTACATGCGGGAAGGCCTTACAAGCTCAACTGACAATAACAGAGTCCCTCCGGATCGTCCTCCGGCTCCGCGGTAGGCGTGTCCGCCGGGTACGCGCCCCTTGCGATCGGCACCGAGACCGACGGGTCGCTTGTCTGCCCTGCCGGCAGAGCCGCTTTGTACACGATCAAACCGACCATCGGGCTCGTCCCTCAAGAGGGCATCATCCCCATATCGCACCATTTCGACACGGCAGGGCCCATGACCAAGTCGGTTTGCGACCTGGCAGATTTGTTGGATGTTTTAGCCGCAAGACCACGCTCTGAGTCGTTCACGGCGGACTTAACTGAGTCTTGGGGGAGCATTTCGGTTGCTGTTCTTGATCCGGATAAGTGGAAGTTTTCTGAGGATTGGGTGAAGCCTGTTCAGGGGGCGGAAGCTCAGATCGTATGTGGCAATTGGCAACTTTTTACAGTGTTTAGCTGCTCACAACAACAGAGTCGAGACATCCGTCACGCATATGACGTTATCAAGCTCAAGGCGAAGAAGTTCGTCAACGACGTGGACCTTGTTTCTGTTGACGATCTCGAACTTGATGGAGAGAGCAGCGAGGGGATTGTCGTGGGTGCGTTTATCTAGCTGAGTGAGAACTTACGGAAACTAACGTGTTGATGGATTAGCGGTTGACCTGAAGAACAACCTCAATACATATCTTGAGGACCTTGAGGAAAGCGAAGTGCGGTCTCTTACGGATGTGATCGATTACAACCTTAAACACTCCGACAAGGAGCTTCCGCCGCGTATGAAATCCCACGTCCCTTTTAGATGCTATCCCCCATAGGTACCTTCGACTCTCGAGTACAAAGCTCACACTGTGACTAGACCATCCGAGGCAGGACCGCTTCATCGACTCCCAGAACAATACCGTCCCCCCCGATTTATATGAGCGACACTTGCAGCATCTCCGCCACGTGGCCAGAGACCGCGGGGTAGACCGTGTCTTTGCAAAATATGACGTCGACGTCATTCTGGGCCCGACGGACAGCGGCCTCACATCCATAGCCGCAGCCGGAGGTGAGATTCTGGCGCAAGGATAATAGGCAAAAGAAATGCGAAGCTAACTAGTGCTCATAAGGATATCCTCTGTGCGCAATGCCATTGTCCTACTTGGACTACAATGGGCGGCCGTTTGGGGTCTCGGCTATTGCGGCGCGCGGCCGTGATGATCTCCTGGTCAAGGTCTTGAGTGCGTGGGAGGCAACCTTTGACCAGCGCAAGCCGCCCCGGTCCCTGATGGGGTAATTTTTGGTTCAGCAATAGGCTGACCTCCCAGGTGAAGATGGGCTTGCGATGGGAAATAGAAAAAACAGCCGTTAGAGGAGAAGGTGGTGAGTAACAAGAACGAAGAAAAAGACTTGACTTGACTTGACTCCCTTTGGCTGTGAACAAGGTACAAAATCTAACAAGCGGTATGCGATCAACCAACTTCGAATTCTGTTAGGCCACTAGTAATACCACCAATATCAACTCAATTTCGATCAAGGTAGCTCCGAAGCACCCCTGGTAGGCACCTGGCGCCAAATCAGCTGAAAGGGCATATATGTGCTGGCTGCATCAATGTGATGTACGCAACTGCTTTATAACATGTACATATACTATCTTGCGCTACCTAGCCATCTCGGGAACTAACTTGGCGGTGTCAAATGTAGGGGTTATGTGGATGGCCTGACTCAGCGCCGCCACTGTCATGTCACTTGTACCGACGCCAATACCATGTGTACATACATACCTTGCAAGGTTCATAGCCAGGGGCGTAAAAGTACCACGGAGCATCTTCAAAACAACCAAAGCAAAGCCTCCGTGCTCTAGGCTTAGAGAACCCGGCTAGGTATCAAGCATTCCAGGCAGGCCTCAAGTTTCTAGCCGCCAGAGCAGGGACTCCCTCGACCAACACCCAACCCACCCAATTCCTTTGATTATTACCATTTTATAACCCTACCTTACACGGGCGCTGGGGGGGGGCGGCTGTGCGGATGCGACCGGCGGGAGGAGGTGCGGCGGATGGCCGGCAGCAAGCAGCAATCAATGAGATCAATGTGAGACCGTGAAGCGCGTGGCAGGGCCGCGGAAGGAAGGCGGGAGGATGGCGGTGGCTATTGCCCGGTCGAAGGAGAGCTATCCATGGAGCCCATCTACGACAGCGTTTGGGAAGGATCGGGGGTTGGGATCCAAAATCAGGGGCTCAAGCCTCACGGACCCGGCGTCGGAGGAGACGCGGAGCTTCCATTGCGGCCGCCACCTCCGGATGGTTGTCGGAGGGCGGGAAGCGGGAAGCGAATCCGATTCGTTTGGTGCCCGGCGGGCGTGATCGGGGAATGGATGGCAGATTTGGTTCTGCGACGATGGACGTGAGAAGTTGAAAAAGTGGGTGAGGTTGGTCAGCGCGGAGAAGCTGGTGTATCAAGTCAGGGGTTGATATCGAAATGGACGGGCTGACTTTAGCTTTTTGACCATCTTTTCCTTTCTGATTTATCCGGTTGTTCCTTTTCATGCATGATTCGTCACAGTCTCTTGACAGTGTCGCTTAGGCATTGGCACGCCGTTTCTTTTGCAACCGAGCATGCCGGCAGGAGACGGTTGCACTGCAGCGCAGTGAACCAAGGCGGCGGTGGCACAGGGCGGGCGACACTGGGGTTGTGGGGGTTTTTCCTCGAAGCCCCCGGGTCATTCAACGGTCCGACGTGGCGTCGCCGTTGAGCCCAGTGTGCGGCGGCGGCGCAAGCGAATCGGAATTGTCCGCGGCCCCATGTTGTGCATGAGATGGCTTGTGAGCGGGAAGAAAAAAGTAACGTCTTCGTAGGGTTTGTTTGCTGCACGGCATTTCCGGGAGAACTTGCTCCAAAGGGGCCAGTCGAGGGCATTTGTGACCTGCGCCCCCACGATGCTTGAATCCCTGTTGCTGTCATCAGTATCTTGCGACCTTCCCAACATGGAGCTCGTAGGATGGAGCAATTGCTTCTCTGTTTCTTGAACTGTAAGGTATCTTGTCTATCGTGTTTCATCGTGCCCAAAAAAAGAAAGCCAAAATCCCTTTTTGATAACACGCAATCAGTGTCGTGCTGCGACCCGTTTTCAAACCCCTGAAGGCTCCTCATGCCGATATCGCATGTGTTAGATATCCGACCCATGTTTGTGAAAGCAAAAACAAAAAGAATGTAGCTGAGCATTAAAAAAGCGTTACTATGTACGGGTAGAGGGCTGCGACTTGGCGCTGGTTAGTCGTGTGAGATGGACCACTTCGTCTGCACCCTGATGCCCGTTTGTGGGTCCGTCCGATAGGGGGGCTGCTCCGTCAGGGCCACCTCGGAGCCGCTGTCCTTGTCCTTGTCGGCAAAGTTCCCTGCTTCCACGTCATGGTCTGGCCTGGGGCCGTCCGTGGCGGCAACGGCCGACCGGTATTGTACCGTCTGGTTCGCGGCGTAGAGGCCCTCGAGCGGAATCTGCGTGTCGGTGGCGCTCTGGTTCTTGAGCTTGCTGAAGGCGCTGCCGTGGGTGCCGCTCTCGGAAGAGTGGTATGCTAGCTTGGAGTTTCCCCGGCGTGTCGCAACGCACCGGGACCAGAGCGAGCCCATCATGGGTAGACTGACGCACAGGATGGCCAGGTTGGGCTCAGTAGCAGACCAGAAGTCGGCCCAGATCATGGTCCCCGTGAGGTTCATCAGATCGAGCTGCGTTAGGGTGACGATGCGGATGATGCCGATAACGCTGACGCTGAGGAAAAGTCAGTACGGCTTTCCGGACGGACGCGGGTTCGAGATACGTACACGAGACCAACGAGGAACACGCCCGTCAGACCAAGCTTCGCGGGGGTGGACATCTTGAGCGCCCAGACCGTCGGCAGCGGGAGCGTCAGGATGATCACGTCGGTGATGATGTTGAAGGAGCCGATGGCGATGAACGAGGCCACTTGGTCGCCGCATTCGCCCTCCATCAGAGGCGTGTATGTCTTGGCGAAGGGGCGGCAGATGAGGAAGACCTGGAGGAAGTTGCCAATACTCCACACCGAGACGAAGATCAGAGCGGCTACGGTGGCCATACGCAAGCCGCGGTTGACAAAGACACGGAGATAGAAGAGCAAGATGCTAAGCTTGATGGTGCTGATAGAGGTCGCATATATGAGCTCGTATGCGACGAGCATCTTGAGGATGTTTTCTAGATTGGGCATCGTTTCGGTGATGTTGAAGCCGATTCCCATGGGCGACCCTACAATGACATGTTAGTTCCCAAACAGGGCTTCCCAAGCCTGGGGGAGCTACTCACACAACCCCTGGATAATGAGCATGCCGAGGCCCTGAGGCAAGGCGAAGATGATGAGGTAGTCATCCCACCAGAGTCCGGCGCCGGAGATAAAGCGAGAGGCGAGACGCAGGCCCACGACCACGACCGTCAACAAGGCAAGAACGGAGTTGATGATGAGATGCACCTTGACTATGGGCAGCACCGGGAACTCGACGTATTCGAACATGGTGTGTGGTAGTTCTCGTGCCTGTGCCGACCGGGCGACACTTTCGACTGCTGCTGATTATATGACTGTTGATGAAGTCACAGTCGAACCTGATCCGCCTTGTGCTGCTCTGCTGGGCCGCTCGCTGTGGGATTCCCGAGGCGGAGACAGGTGGTGGAGACAAGAACGGGAGCGTGGGCAAGGCTGTCGATATGTACTCGCATGGCGTTCCACGGTATTCTCATCCAGGAGAAGAGACCGAACGGTATGGCAGCATGAGATAATTGGCTGCTCTACCACCGCGGTGCGTCAGGGGCTGAGGGGCACATAAAGAACACTTTTTTCAGGACCGCGGCTCAGATTCGGGCAAGATATTCCTCAGAGTCGACCAGGGGGGGGGAGACCCAGCGAAATGGAACCGACAGGAAAAGAAGCAAGGTGGCAGATCACAACACTTGCAGAAGAATCGTCTGGCTCGGCTCGGAGATATCCATGGAGGATATTGCGGAGAGCGTTAAGACGGGGGACATGGGCCGAGGGAGCCCTGGTTTGAGATCAAGCCGCGGCGTGTGTGGTTCATCGAGTTGTCGATGGTGCGTTTCTAGTGCTGAGAAAAGCAAAACAAAGAAACCAGAGATGGGCACGACGGCGTGGCGGTAGCTCCGGCTCCAGATTGAGCCGGCAACTGCCAGTCATTGTGGCGTGGAGATCAGGCTTGAGAAAATCAAGCCCATGGTGGTGGGTTGCATCGCGCTGTTCGGTCAGGGGTCGGTGAATCCGCGGCCTGCTAGCTCGGCAGCAGAATCCTGGCTTAGGTTACCTTAGCGTAGATAGCTTATTCTCGTCCCGGGTTAGGATGAAGAGACAGACTCCGTGGCCAGAGGGTTAAAATGCCACAGGAGCGGTCTCATCTTGCGCCCGACCTAGTGAGATAACCAAGATCTGCGCAAAAGACAAATCATATCGGTGATGAAGGCGGGCGTGCGATGTCGGGCTGGGTTTAGTCAGGTATGGGTCCTTGAGGTTTCACCAAATATCGGGTTCGGATGAACGCATTCGATCTCATCTTGCAGTCTGTCGACCGATCCTTGACGTTTCTTTTTTTTCTTTTTTTTTTTTTCCTTTTTCTCGGTGTCTCACAGTGTGTGAGGCTTGTTGAAATGGAATCGAAGAGGCTCATTCGGATTGGTCCACCCACACACGTGTAACCGTTGAACCCCATGCGGCAAGCCACCGAAGCGAGGCTGGGTTCCCTGCAAGAGGTCGAGGGATTTGCCGTGAAACCGAACTTACCGAACCGGGGAGCCCGGGGATATTATTCCTCCCCTGAGAAGTGGAAACGCAGACCCCAGTTCGACTCCCCTTTTCTCCCCATCGATAATTTGCCCGAGATCGCGAACAAAGAGCCAGGTGCTCTTGCTTTTTCGCATTCACCGAGGAGGAGCGATGCAGAAGGAGTGGCGCGGAATCACCCCGCAACCCCCGGTCATTACCAGGGGTGTAGTTACACTACCGAGTCCATGGACGACAGAGGATGGAAGCCACCACGGCACGGCACCAAGCACCAACAAAGCCATCACACCATCGGCACCTGCTCCAACAAGCAACCCTCATAGGACAGTGGGGGCCAGAGACGCAGGCCTGAGGCGGGCTCGAGGCGGATCCAGGGCGGGTTCCCGTCGAGGCAGGTTCACCGGACAACAGTTCATTGGGCGAGCACTACTAGCGACTCCACCAAAGCTCGCTCTTCCCTCAAACTGGTTTGGCCTCGCCCCGCGCCGCAAGCTAACTATCGGGGTTTGACCGGCATCCCCCGACGGTGATGGGATTGCAGCTGGTTTTCCCATCCAGGTGGGTAAGGCGGGAAGGATATCGCTGTATCACGCGCAGCCGAGGTGAGACCTCTTTCAGTCTGGACGCGCCCGAGCAAGGCGAACGGCACTGGAAATGGCTTGTTATGGCTAGTCCACCTCAGGGCAGCGCTTGCGGCTCGGCGAGCAACTGCACCCGGCCCCAATTCCACCCCGAGCGGGGAAGATCGCCATGGTTCGGGCTCCAAAGGTTGTCGGACTTTGTTGCTGTTGAGCGGGGTGATGGCACCACAGAAGCCGATGTCTAACCTTTCTTGGGTTATCACACAACCAACAATGAGGGGTTGAAAGGGCATCTCGCTACTTCAAACGGGAAGTGCTGTGACGGTGTTGGATGGAGGGGGTTGGTTGTTTGCTTGTCTCCCTCTTTAAATTCTCCGCCGAGATCAGTTTCCCGGTTCCCGTCTTTCGGCCGCACTTCTTGTCTGCTGCAGTGAAACGGGCCCCTGCCTGAGTACGACGTCGAACATTTGATCGTGAAATCACACAAACACCGAACCCGGCTCACTCACTGGATCGACTGCCCTGAATACCCGACTGGATCTGTAACGGTCCCACGTCACAGTACCACAACACCACAACATTACCCCACCATTCAGAGCAACAAAAGCTACAAATCATGGTTTCTGTTGACCTCAGCCAGCCGTTTGACTACGTTGTCATCGGCGGTGGCACCGCCGGTCTGGTGGTTGCCAATCGCCTCACCGAAGACAGCAGTGTCCGGGTCCTCGTCGTGGAGGCCGGCGCAGACCGCACCGCCGACCCTCTGGTCCTCACACCAGGCTTGGTCGGCGCCTTGTACGGCAAGGAGGAGTACGACTGGAACTTCATCTCTCCCCCGCAGGTATGTGATACCCGTCAAAACCCTCCCGGCGATGGCTAACACGTCGCGCAGCCGACCCTGAACAACCGCCGTATCAACCAGGCTCGGGGCAAGATGCTCGGTGGCAGCTCGGCCCTTAACTTCTTGATGCTGCTCTACCCGTCCAAGGGCAACATCGATGCCTGGGCTGCCTTGGGTAACCCAAGCTGGAACTATGACGCTCTGGCCCCGTACCTTCGCAAGTTTGCGACTGTTCACCCGTCGCCCCAGTCCGCCCGAGATCTCCTTGGCTTGACCTACCTCAATGAGGATTTGGCCAAGGGGGACGGGCCCATCCAGGTCTCGCACACCGAGGGTTATGGCGTAACGAACAAGGCGTGGCTACAAACCTTTGCCGGCCTTGGCCTCGAGGCCGCGAGCGATCCCCGCGAAGGCGGAGCGCTGGGCGCCTTCCAAAACCACGCGAGCATCGACCCGGCCACCAACACGAGAAGCTATGCTTGCACTGGATACTACACCCCCGAGGTTGCCAAGCGGCCAAACCTCGTCGTGCTCACCGAGACCGTGGTAAACAAGATCATCTTCGACACAACGAGCGGTGAGGACGCCGTCGCCACGGGCGTCGAGATTATCACCAAGGACGGCCAGAAGAAGCAGGTTTCGGCCAGCACAGAAGTCATCTTGGCAGCCGGTTCGCTGCAGTCACCTCAAATCCTCGAACTCTCAGGTGTCGGTGGCCGCGACCTGCTCGGGAAGCACGGAATCCCCGTCATCGTCGAGAACCCCAACGTTGGCGAGCACGTCCAAGACCACCCCATCGTCTGCCAGAGCTTCGAGGTCGCCGACGGCGTGCCCTCGGGCGACGTCCTGCGCGACCCCAACGTCCTCCAAGCCCTGGTTGGCATGTACCAGACGGGCGGCGCCGGGCCGCTCGGCCAGAGTGTCATCAGCGTCGCCTACTCGCCGCTCGTCGACGGCTCGGGCATCGTCCCGGCCGAGGCCAAGGCGAGCCTCTTCGCCGAGCACGCACCGACCTTCGACACCCCCGAGGGCAAAGTCGCCCGCAAGCTGGTCGAGTCCCCCACCGAGGCCACCTTCCAATACCTCCTTTTCCCCAGCCAGGTCGACATCCCCGAACGCCCAACCCAGCATGGCGCACTACATCACCCCGGTGCGCCCCGAGAACTACATCACCCATCATGACCATCATCAACCAGCCCTTCTCGCGCGGCAGCGTGCACATCACCAGCGCCGACGTCCACGCCCCGCCCGAGTGGGACCCCAAGTACAACTCCAACCCGCTCGACATGGAGCTGCTCGCGCGCGCCGTACAGTTCGTCGAGCGCATCGTCGACCCGGCCACCCCCTTCGGCGGCGTCCTCAAGGCCGGCGGCCAGCGCCAGCCCGCCCTCAAGGCCGACGACCTCGACACCGCCCGCGAGATCGTCCGCCGCCGCCAGATCTCCGTCTTCCACGTCGCCGGAAGCTGCGCCATGCGCCCGCGTGACCAGGGCGGCGTGGTCGACGAGCGTCTGCGCGTGTATGGGACTAAGCGGTTGCGCGTGGTCGATGCCAGCGTCTTCCCCATTGAGCCCGTCGGTAATATCCAGAGTGTGGTGTACGCTGTGGCTGAGCGGGCGGCGGATTTCATTAAGGAGGATCGTGCGCGGGCTTAGACTCTGGCGCCGGAGTTGATCTCACCGGCCAGGGGTCGATTAGCTAGCGTAGTTCTGGCGCTAATGCGTTGGAATCTAACTAATGATACCTTATCTATGATCTACATGAAGATGTGCCTCGGACTATGCCTCGGACTGTGATTGCTTACACTGGGTAAAACGGAGCGGTGTTCATGTTCGCGGAAGTTACCGACTGCTGAGCGGAACATTCTCAACTTGTCTTAGATAACTATTCATTCAAACAAATAGTTAGTTATGCGTCACCAGCAACGATCATTACCAATTAGATCAACTTATATACCCGAGCCACTGCGAGCATCACAGATGCGTCTTTCGCTCTACTTTCTCTGCATTGTGTTCATGATGTTAAAACTTGAGATTTGCACCCCCCCCCCCCCCCCCCCCCCCCGATGACGCAAACCCCTTTTGTTTGTTTGTTTGTTTGCATGGGAATCTGACTGCCAAAAACGTGCTGAAGTTTGCCTGGAGGAACGCCAGGTTCCTTAGGTGCCTGGAGGAACGTGCGAGGAACGAGTACTTCCGAAAGGTTCCCTTTGCCTGGAGGAACGTGCGAGGAACGAGGACTTCCGAAAAGGTTCCTTTTGCCTGGAGGAACGTGCGAGGAACGAGTACTTCCGAAAGGTTCCTTTTCCGAGAAAAACCATGCTCCAAGCACGGACCAATTCCGCCCCATAAAAACCCCATAAAACGCCCCATCAAAAAAAGCCGTGCCATTTCTCCCTGTAAACTGTGAAGATTTACTGTCATTATCCTAACGATTGTGGAAGCAGCCATGTTGCTTTGCCCGGAGGAACTTGCCTCTGACGATGAGCGTCTCGAAGTTGGGCTTGGCAGTGGTGGTGCACGGACGGTCTGTTGGGGTTTGTCGGCTGTGGGGCTGGCCCCGCTTTATAAGGGCCAATGAGATGGCGTACCCCCGGCCAGGTTCGCCGACGACCACGAAAAGATGCAGATTGCAGGGCAACACGGCAACAAGTTGAGAAGGAAAATAAAAATATTAATTGAAGCAGCTTATTCCGCTGGAAAAGAGCTCCAAAACAGAGCAACGTTGGAGAGCTGTGCTACGATCTGAGCTCGGAAACCCCAGGGTCTCGCCAGAGCGCCGCGTCCTCTACGTCATCGGTTTCAGTACCCTGGCCAGATTCAGGCATGGCAGCCCATTCTTGAAACCACGACTCGTGCCTGTGGTCTTGCTCGAACCGCCGTCTGGTCTCCTCACCCCGTCGTTCCAGCTTGAGGATGGCCTCCCTCATGTCTTTGTCGAGCACATTCTTGGGCTCAATAAAGTCGCCACGCCCCGGTTTCCGAAACAGATGCAGCCCGTCCCAGCTCTGCGCCCTCGACAGCTGCACGTACAAGCTCATGAAGCTGGGTCGAGTCACCGTACCGCTGGAGTGGACGCCTTTGAGGTTGACGAGGACGTTGGAGAACTGCTTGCCCTGGCTCTTCTGATCTGTCATGGCGAAGGCCGGGGTGCAAAGAGGCCCCGTTCGGTGGGTGACCCACCTGAAACCTGGCTTGCCCCTCCATCTGCCTTCCTTGCCCCGCATTTGGCTCGGGATGGCGACCGTCTTGCTCTTGATTAAAATGGTGCCATTGGGGAGCCCGGGGATGGCGAGGCCCGCGCTGTCGTCTGACTCGAGGAGGACGGCCACCGGCGGTCCAAGATGAAGAGTCACATCGCTGGCGAGGGCGATGGTGCCGGCGGCGAGGTCGGGAAAGATGTCGACGGCCTTGAAAGGCGCCCCGTTGACGACCTTTAGCCCGACAAACTGGTTCCGAGTCACCACTACCGGCATCCCTTGGGCGTAGAAGAACAGGCCGGGGGTCGGCAGCTGCGAGTCGTCTCCGTAGCGGAGCACGTGGCATAGGTCCCCCGCACTCAATCGCTTCCCCGACTCAGTATCGTGCTTGGCCGCAAAGACTGAGATGTGCTTACCGTGGGCACGAGCCCACTGGACGACGGCCGCCATGTTCAGGTCCCACCGGTCTTGGTTCAGAGGCGTGATGGCTCTCAGGCCGTCTACGAAGGAGGACTCGCACGACGGTGTATAGACGCGTTGGCTCAGCCGCTGGAAGTCCAGCTCGGTCTGCTCCCCACTGCGCAGGCGCCGGAGGAAGCCCCGCAGCCTTGCACAGCCGGCCGCGCGGACCTGTTCGCGGAGGATGACGACGTTCGCGAACTGGAGGAACAGCTTATGCGCTGCTAAGTGCTTTGCCGAGCTGTCCGGTCTCTGTCCACCGGGGTCCCTAGGCGTTGGCAAGAGGAGGCTGGTCTGCAGGACGGGGTCGAACTGGAAGAAGTCACCAAAGAACATGACCATTGGGATCCCGCCGAACGGTCGATGGTGGTCGTCTCTGTACTGCTTCAGGCGGCTGTCCACCGCCGCGAGCGTGAGACCGCCCACCTGGCTGATCTCGTCGATAACCAGCATGATCATGTTTTTCCACCGCAGCTTCTCTTCTTCTGAGACGTTCTTTGCTGTCGCTGCCCTGCCCTCAAACGCAATGTTCGCCGCCGAGTGCAGCGTCACTCCGCCGATAAGCGCGGCCGCGTTACCGCTGGCGCCCGTCAGGAGCAGCGTGTGGAGACCGTCCTTCAGCCGGAACATGTCCTTGATGGCGTGTATGACGCGAGACTTGCCGGTGCCGCCCTCGCCGCCGATGTATTGGAAATGCTGCCGACCCCCTTCTTCCTGCAGCCGTGTGCCGCGCTCGTCAAGAAACGCCGCCGGTAGCAAGACTGCCATCGACTGGAGCTTATTCAGGGTCCAGTGCCTTGTGAGGCCCAAGGCCACATCGACGTATGTTGCATAACGTCCGAGCTCGAGCCGCATCTGTCCGCCCGGACCGACCCCTTCTGGAGATCTTTCGCATCCGTGAACGGGCAACCGTGGGCTCCCGTGTGGCTCGCCGACATGCGCAGAAGACGGATTCGTTTGCCTGCCCTGGATCTTCGCCGTCACGTTGCTGTCCTCTTTCTTCTGGACCTTCAATACCGCGTCGATCTCCTCGCGGCTGGGCAGTCCCATGCCGCGGAACGGCGAGTCTTGGAGGTCCTGTAGCATGGTATAGAAATGGCGACCACGCTGGGCAGCATTGTTGTCGTCCTGGCTTGGGTCAACTGCCCTCGCCTCTTGGTCCAAGCGCCTCAGCGCCGAAGTCGCTGTCATATCTTTGATCTCGCTGCCTCGAACCGCTGAAAGGACATTCAAGAAGGCTTCGTAGTGGGCCTGTGGATCGATGTCCCCACCATCCAGTCCGACGCCGTCATCGTCCCCCTCCCGGTCCTCAAAGCCAAACCCGTCGACGACGTCTTCGTTTTCCTGTTCTAGCCCTTGCATCTTTCGGTCAGCACGGGCATCGTCCGCCGAGACGCGTAGCAGAGCGATATTCTGGACGTGTGAGCGGATTCGGGCGCCCAGCTGCCCTCGAGCGATCGCCAAAGTCCTGGTATATCGTCCGCTGGCTCAGCCTGAAACCTTTCCCATGGAACGAAGAGGGCGAGGTGCAGGACTGCGTTTCTGTATGTGACTTGTAAGCCCTTTTCTTTTACGCCAAGAGGACCCTGCTACCTACCTCCTTACAAATTTCTCGTCCTGCTCCTCGAACTCGTCTGTGAGGCGGCCATGAAAAACGGGTACTGCTGTCTCGTTGGGAGTTCGGAGGCATTGAATCCATCCTTTGCAAACTGTTTCCGATGGTGGAAAAGGAACCGACGTCGGGTCTCGCCGGTGACAATGCTCCTTTTTCAGGACCACAAAGGACACGTAGTCATAGAAACAGAGGTGCTCGAGGATCGGCCCGCGGTGCTTGTACGCTTCCAAATAAGAGAGCTTGAAGCCGCTTTCTCCGAAGTAGACATTGTTTGGGTACGGCTCTTCACCAAGGTTCGCCAATGCTTCTCGCAGACCCGGCCACTGTCTAGCACAGGCCCAGTACAAGGAATTCAGATGTATCCAGCTCCAGGCAGTGACGTTCGTGAAGTCGGTCTCGAAGCTGAGCAGATAGCCAAGCACCTCGGGATGTGAGAGCTCTCTGCTCGTGTGGATTCGATTTGCGACTCGCAGGAGGAACGATTTGGTGGCTTCTCTCATCGCCGACGGCGCAGCCGAGCCGTCTAGCTCCCCTTGCTGCTGCAAAACCAACTCCAGCAGCTCCGCTGCATGAGCGATTCGCATCCACATGCGGAGCGTGGAGCTTCGAGGCGTAGTTGCCAATGTAGTGGACGAGCGACAGCCCCTTTTTCCGCGTAAGGATTGGTGATATGTCAATATTATGCCGAAGACCCACGGCCATGCTCTGGTTGTACTGATTGACCATCTGATGATCCCGTTTCACCTCGAGCAGGCCGTCTTCCGTAAAGCTAGTCTCCGGCACGAGTTTCCACGGAGCCCGGAACCGACATAGCTGCGCTTTGCATTTCTCCGGACCCGACTTGAGAACTTCCTTGAACGAGTATTTCACACACGTAGCGGTATGGCGATGGACTTGGCAGCGAGACGCGACGAAGTTGGCTTCACGCTCAAACTCCCCCGATAGCCACTCTGCGTCGTGCATCAGCTCTGGCTCTACCACGGTGGTCTTCTTGCCACTCTCCGTTGCCTCTTGCGCCAGGGCCTCGTCCAGGGTCGCGGTGAATACGTCATCCACGAAGCTCTTCACCTTGGACCGGTATACCGCTTCGTCGGGGTTGGCCATATCGCGGACGAGATTCGCCAGATCCAGGTTCCCGTCCAGCCACAGCAGGCCGTGCAGGTGGAGAGCCCCGCGGTCGTTGGTCTCTATGGTGGCGTAATAGTGACTCACGTTCCCATAGATGGATGGCCGTCCGACGCGAACGTAGTGCTCGAAAAATAGGGAGATCTCACGAAAGAAGAAAAGAGTCGAGCTCAGAGGATCGTGCACCGAGAGGGTCGTCATCTGCAGCGTCGTGGACAGTGCGCTGAGAAAGGCTCTGGCAGCCTCGCCATCCCGTCCCCTGTACGCCGCGAGCTTCAGCCTTACCGGATTGTTAATGTCGTTTGGGTTGAGCGTAAACCAGATAGCCGAGAGTCCGAACGCCACGATCATGGACCAGATCTTCTTCCGCATCGACAGGCGGCTCTCGTTTGATAATGGATGTCGGCTACCGTAGAGAGAGAGCTCCTTCATAAGTGCAAGAACGTCTCCGTCCGTCGTCTTTCCCGTCTCGGACATCTCCTTCTGCGCCTCCCTCAACCGCTCGGGCGTTAGCCTTTGATGGATTCCCTCAATGCGTCGGAAAGCCGACCGCTTCAAGCGTCCCTGGCCGATTCGTCGATTTCGAGACTTTACAAGGATGTTGAAGATGAGAAACCCAAACATGGGGTGCTGGCCAAAATGCCCACCGTGTCTCTGCAGGACAACCTTGGCCCACGATTCTAGCGTCATATCTCGCAGTAGCGGATTTGCTGAGCCTCCCTCTTCGTTACGATCCGCCACCCGTGGTCCGCCACGCCCATATGGAAAGCAACAAGGGAATGTCTTGGGAAAATAGTCGGGAGAGAAGGCGTCGGCAAACTCACTACCGCGCGATATCCGGATGAACGGCCGTTCCGAGGAGCCATAGACCTGCATAGACGGTGCGTCGCCGGCCCTAGCCTCATAGCGGTCGTCAGACTCACGCTCTGCTTCTAGCGCCAGACTGATAAATTCTAGCTTGTCTTGCTCTTCGAAGGCGGCCTGGTCGTCGATCGGAAACATGGCCGAAGACCGTAACTCAAACACCGGCTCCTCCGTTTCTTCAGCCGTCGCCTCCTCCAAACTGGCGGTGGATGCGCTAGGCGTGGGCTCGGCCGGAGCAGGACTTTCCTTGCATCTATCTGCTAATTCCGTCATAATGTCCTCAACCGTCGATAGCTTGACCGGGAGATCCTGTCCTCGATCAGTCGGCGGCACGATCTGTGCTGTCCGGATGGCTTCCTCTGCAGTCTCTTGCTCTCTCACCATTCGTTGGTACGCCAAAGACGGCACCTGGCTACCATTCTCAAAAGACCAACTGTGCATCTCCTCCTCATTGATTACAATGTCCGCGTAAAGAGGGTTATTTGCCCGCAGCCAATGCAGCGCTGTAAGGAGGGCGCCGGGTCGGACACTCAGCAGTTTGCTCACGTCCACAGGCCTCGGCCGCTCTAAGCCGGTCCAGATCACATGCACCTGGTCCAACGACGAGACAAGTGGATGCGGCAATATAGTCGCAGCCAAAGACTCTACATCGTTGGGGAAGACCGAGATATGGCCCACAACGTGCTTCCGATATGTGGGACCGGTCTTCTGTCCGCGCTGCACGTTAAACTTGGTGATGAACCCGTAGGCCGTATTCAGCGAAATCAGCTTCTCCTCCAAAGGAGTGAGATCTCGGAGTTCCTTTGGGTATCGGTGCTCACATCCGATATCCATCGTACTACCCATGCAGACGCCCGGAACCCGGTGTCGATCGAAGGCAGCGCGACAGGTGAAGCAGATCGGCACAACATTGTCGCCATCTCGCTCGGGAAAGCATCTTTTGCACCCCAGGAGATTCGTCATTGCTGGTTGAATCTCCGCGGGAACCGCTGTTTTCCAGTGGACATGGTCAAGATCTCTTGGCTTTTTTTTTATATAGCAAACTGAGCACGTTGCTATCTCCATGGTGGTCTCGTCGTGGAACGCTTTTAGGAAGGCTTGGACCGTGTCGACTTTACGTTCTCTCGGAATAGGGTTGCACCAGTCACGGCGAACTGAGGCCGCTTGTTTTTTTTGGAAGGATCTCTCCCTCTCCTGGACCAGTCGATCTAGTGCTTCCCTTTGCTGCGCAGTCATCTCCACGGACGACCGGTCAAGCCGTCGCCGTCTCCTGATTATTTGCTGTTAGTCAGACAGACCTGAAGTTTAGGAAAATACTATTACGTACTCCGGAGATGACGAATTGGCTTCCTGCCTCGCCCTTCGAGCTCGTTGACGGCCCCGGCTCGTATGCTCTGCTAGCTCTTCTCGACGTCGCGCCACCTCCTCTCGCTTCTTCCGCTCTTTCTCCAGCCATTGTCGTATCTCTTCGGCTCGCGGATGACGTTCTCGTTCCTCTTCCAGTTGTCGTCTCCTCTCCTCTTCCCGCTGATGCCGGCCTTCTTCCTGCCGTAGACACCTCTCTTCGTGCTGGCGGCGACGGTCTTCTTCCTGTTGCCCAATCGCCTCCGTCTGCTGACGGCGGCGCTCCTCCTCTTTCATCCATCTTATCGTCTCTCGCTGCTGCTGTGTAACCTCCCGCTCCTGTCGCCTTTGCTCCTCCAACACCCCCTCTGCTATTTCCTCGCGTTGCCTCATAGCCTCCCGCCCCTGTTGCCTTTGTTCTGCCAACAGTCCCTCTGCTATTTCCTCACGTTGTCTCCTAGCCTCCCGCTCGCGTTGCCTCATGGCCTCCCGCTCCTGTCGCCTTTGTTCTGCCAGTCGCAGTCGCGAGGCTTCCCGTATGGCCCGGCTCTCATCATCTTGTGGTCCTGTCAACGCCCACGGGCGCTGACTGCGGCGCTCTTCTTGCGGCTGGAACGGCGCAAAACAAAGGTCTGTGAAAGTCCGGTGCACCTGGTTTCCGCTCCTCGCCATCTCTGGAACTAATAAAATCCGTTCATGGCCTGGATTTCCCGCGTCTATCCACTCCCGCTGGGACTGTATCTGTAACGGGGTGGGCGGAAAAAGAAGCCCGTTATTCGATTCAGACATGTCAAAGTAGCAACAACAAGCGTGCTGAGAAAGTAATTGTATGGCTCTGGAAATATACATCCGTCATCCAACTCTCAGTTCGCCTCTCTACACACTTCTCAACACCCCCCTTTTTTCTTTTGGAGCCACAGACATAGTTGGAGGCCTAACCACATAACCCCCAAGACGTATGCGACAAGCCGCTCCAAAGAACCCTCTTCACAATGCACATCAATGCGGATCACAGCCTCCAGATTGATTCTCGAAACAGCATCAGTCGCTGTTGTTAGTGTCACATAAGCAAAGACCTACGGATTGTAGCGTCTCCGCCCTCGGAACCAAACCAATCGCGTTTGTGAAGATATTCTCGAAACACACTCCGTCCGTGTCATCACCTCTCGAGCGAGAATCCTTACCAAGTCTGCCGATTCAATACCTGATATTACCTGATATGACGACATGGCTTGCTAGATTGCGTTTCAGAACCCGGCTTAGTGTCGCGGCGTGATATATGGAAGGCAAGGTTAGATCGTTACTAAGAGCAGTAATTGATTTCCCCACAGTGAGTTCAGCATTTATTCTTCAAGGAACAGCACTCAACATTCTCTGTCCCTCCAGCCTTTCTCCTAGAACTCAATTCTTTATTGATAGAAGCTGGAACGCTACTAACGCCGCCATGGCTTCTTCCGTCTCTGCCGTCTACCCGATCCCCCCACGGCCAAACAAACGAGACCAAGGGACAATCGGTTCGGATCTCATCGTCACCTACCACTCCGACTTGGCCCAGTGCGACATTCTCCCATCTGGCTCTCGATACACGAGCGCAGGAAACTTCAAGGCCGGGACCTTCCTACCATTCATCCAACCCGCTTTTATCCAAGAGCTCTACCCGCGCCTCCTGAGTACGGAAGACGAGGAGACATCGGGACTTCCGTTGATACTCTCCATGTTCAACGCCGAAGCAAAAAATAGAAACCCTGGAAGAGGATTGGGAAGGGAAATGGTTCAGTATCGTCGCCCGACTTCTCCCAAACAAACTCACATTCCAAGGCGTAGGATCCAGCGGGTGGGAGACAGACGAACCGCAGTCTGTACAGGTGGCACTGGCACTGCCGCGCGATGATGGCTTGACTCCGTACGCGCTATTATTTCTCACTGAAGCAGAACCTGGCTGCTAACACTTCCAAGTGTCATCCCCCGCCAGCTCGGCGGTCCTGACGAGACAACTCTCTGGCCAACCACTTCGGCACATGTATCCTTTGCCGGCCCTGTCGACCTAGATACCTTCCACATCAAGGACGGAGTCTGGCCAGAGCCACTGATCAAGACTTCAGTGTTCGTCAAACTCGGGTCTTACTTGCAACCAGAGAATGACCGCCCCCCTCGGAAGGGTATACACATATGCCACGTCCTTGTTCTCTTCCCCGTCGACCAGCAACCCTGGAAGTCACTGGCCGGGTGGATGCGGACCGCCGCAAACCCCTTTCCTAAAGGCTCGTGGATCGCATGCAGTGGTCGAGTCCTGGGGGTCCTAGACCGCGACCTAATCCGAGGGCCTCAGCTAGTCGATTCCAGCGTTCGAATCCTGGTGGTTCTTCCCGACAACTGGGAATTCATTCGGCAGAATTCCTTGTCTACCAACAATACACCCACCTCAAAATCATCGAACCTTGTCGACAAGTCACCTACGACACCACGCCCAGCTGGCCCCGGAGGAGTCGCAAGCAGAAACCCATTCTCGTCACCAAGCCGTGCCCCGAAGACCGCAGAACGCAAAACAACCGCACTAGCAGCCGGCCCTAAAGCAGCGGTGGCTTCAATCACCGCCGACCCTGCCCCGACGTTCACAGTTCCATCTTCAGGTATGTATCGCCGCCTTCCAGACCCACGGCTCACCTAACCGTTGATCTAGATGGCGATGACTCGAACGATGGTTCGGACACAGAGGAACTATTGGACGCTCAACTCGTCTCGAGCAGCAGTACCCCGACAAAGAAAAGAAAGGAACCAAGCTCTCCGGAACCGGCCAGAAGCAAGAGATCCACAGCGGGAAGAAAGAAGGCGCGGCTGTATGACTAGCTTTTGAGGTTGACCAAAGAACTGCTTTTGCTTGCTTTCCCAACATTCGTCAACCGTCCTAAAACTGATCGACCAACCATATTCTGATGCCGCTATGGGTTACCTGCGCCGGCCCGTTCCTCCAGGCTTCCTTTGGCGGGCCCGCGCGCAGCGGGCACGGTCACTCCTGTCAAAAATGCCATGGCCTGCTCTGAGCACGAACCAGTTTTTTCTCCATAAAAAAACCCTACAAAACGGTGTCATTTCTAACCTGTACTGTCGACTTCTCACTGTAGAATTTTGGCTTTTTTCTCCTTTTCGACTTCTCTCGATAGCATCTCGAAGTCTGGCGTCATCTGCATTCTGCTTCGTCGAATTGGCATCTCGCAGTTGGTCTTGGCGGTGGATGTGCACGGACCGTTGTTGCTTTGTTCTGGCCAATCAAACCGCCGGAAAAAAGCCGCTTACCCGCACTTTGGCATCAGGGCCCCTGTGACTCGCTGCTTCGCTCGTGCCTTTGCGTGCCTCCGTCGCGCAATCCTCGACAATCACGAACCAAGAAATCAAATTTCTGTCAAAAAGTGGCGAAAATGAGGTGTTCAGGGTCGACACCTATTATGGGTTGACTATTACTACTAGAGCGACGCACCCGCTTCTTCGTCAGCTGCTTCAATCTGCGCTGATTCGGCCATGACGTCCCATTCCTGGAACCACGACTCGTGCCTGTGGTCCTGCTCGAACCGCCGTCTGGTCTCCTCACCCTGTCGTTCCGGCTTGAGGATGGCGTCCCTCATGTCTTTATCAAGCACGTTCTTCGGCTCGATGAAGTCACTGCTTTCCGGCTTCCGAAACAGATGCAGCCCGTCCAGCTCTGCGCCCTCGACAGCTGCACGTACAGACTTATGAAACTGGGCCGAGTCGCTGTGCCGCCGCGGCGTACGCCTTTGAGGTTGACGAGGACGTCTGAGAACTATTTTCCCTGGCTCTTCTGATCCGTCATGGCGAAGGCCGGTGTACAAAGAGGTCCCGTTCTGTGGGTGACCCACCGAAAACCGGGCTTGCCCCTCCATCTGCCTTCCTTGCCCCGCATTTGGCTCGGGATGGCGACCGTCTTGCTCTTGACTAAGATGGTGTCGTTGGGGAGCCCGGGGATGGCGAGGTCCGCGCTATCGTCCGACTGGAGGAGGACGACCACCGGCGGTCCGAGATGGAGAGTCACGTCACTAGTGAGGGCGATGGTGCCAAACGCGAGGTCGGGGAAGATGTCGACGGCCATGAAAGGTGCCCCGTTGACTCGTTGACGACCTTCAGCCCGACAAACTGGTTGCGAGTCACCACGACCGGCATGCCTTGGGCGTAAAAGAAGAGGCCAGGGGTCGGCAGCTGTGAGTCGTCTCCGTGGCGGAGTACGCCTCTGGTCTCTGTCCGCCGCGGTCCCTAGGCATTGGCAAGAGGAGGCTGGTCTGCAGAACGGGATCGAATTGGAAGAAGTCGCCGAAGAACAAGACCATTGGGATCCCGCCAAACGGGCGATACTGGTCTTCCCTGTACTGCCGCAGACGGTTGTCTACCGCCGCGAGCGTGAGTCCGCCAACCTGGCTGATCTCGTCGACGATCAACATGACCATATTTTTCCAACGCAGCTTCTCTTCTTCCGAAACGTTCCTTGCCACCTCGTTCTTGCCCTCGAATCCAATGTTCATCGCCGAGTGCAGCGTCACCCCGCCGATCAGCGCCGCCGCGTTGCCGCTGGCGCCCGTCAAGAGCAGGGTGTGGAGACCATCCTTCAACCGGAACATATCGTGAATTGCATGAATGACGCGAGATTTGCCCGTGCCGCCCTCGCCGCCGACGTACTGGAAGTGCTGCCGGCCCCCTCTTCTTGCAGCCGCGTGCCGCGGTCGTCAAGGAACGCTGCTGGTATTAATACCGCCAGCGACTGGAGCTTGTTTAGGGTCCAGTGCCTCGTAAGCCCAAAGGCGACATCGACGTACGTCGCATAACGGCCCAACTCGAGCTGCATCTGTCCGCCCAGACCGACTTCGTCCGCTGACCCTCCGTCTCTGTGAATGTGCCGCTGTGGGCTCCCATGAGGCCCATCGTTATGTGCAGAAGACAGATTCGCTTGCCTGCCCTGGATAGTTGCCGTCACGCTGCTGTCCTTCGTCTTTCCCGTTGAACAACAACCGTGGAAGTCGTTAGCCGGCTGGATGCGAACAGCTGTCAACCCATTTCCAAGAGGATCCTGGATCGCATGCAGCGGTCGCCTCCTGGGAGTTCTCGATCGAAACCTCATCCAAGGCCCTCAACTCGTCGACACAAGCGTTCGCATCCCTGTAGTTCTTCCAGACGACTGGGAGTCTATTCGACAAAGCAGTTTAACCGCTCACAACACGACACCCATACGACCTAGCACAGTGCCTACAACACCACGCTCAACCGGTCCACGAGGAATCACAAGCTGGAACCCATTCTCCTCACCCGTTGGCGGCCAAAACACGTTGACAAATAAACAGAAAAACCCGGCACGGCCCCGGAAGCATCCGGATCATGAGGCAACCGAGCCATCGGCCATCCTTGACGACCATCAAACTCGACCACAACCAACGCCGAGCCAGTGCTTACAATTTGAAGCCCAGGTATGACTTCCTTCGAGCTGGCTAACTGGGCTAACCACCAACAAGATACCGATCACACCGACGACGGTTCAAACGCAGAGCAGTTGTTGGAAGATCAACTCGCTCCGGTGGACACCACTCCAACAAGAAAGAGAAAGAAGCAAACTTCTCCGGAGCCGATCCGAAGCAAAAGGTCTACAGCGGGAAAAAAAGAGGGCGCGACTGTACGATTAGACGCTAGTCTGACTGGAGAAACCACCTTTCCTTATTTCCCAGCATTCGTCAATAACCATCATGAAATGGGAAAAAAGACAATTACATCGTTGACTCCGCTATGGGGCCTACCTGCAGCCGGCAAGTTCCTCCAGGCTCCTTTGGCGTGCCCGCGCGCAGCGGGCACGGTCACTCCTGTTGGATCTGTCATAGGACCATTGTTAAAGGCAAATAAAAAGATCATGAATCTCAAGTTGTCCTCTGTGGCGCAATTGGCTAGCGCGTCTGACTGTTAATCAGGAGGTTGGAAGTTCGAGCCTTCCCGGAGGAGAATTCGACGTTTTTTTTTCCTGAATTATCCTTGGTGGAATTCATGTCTGTTTTTTCCCTGTAACGTTCGAAATATGGCGAGGAGGAAGAGAGAGAGCTTAAATGGTTGACCAACTTAGGTTGTTTTTTCCAGCTACTTTAGAAGATGAGTCTCACTGAGATAAACGAGTTGATTGTCTATCAACTCCAAAGAGATACATGTAATATCCTGGCTGGATAACCGACCAAGAAGTACTACTCATTATACATAAAATCATTTAATTGACTTTATATCTCTCATCTTACCCTTCTTAGTCTCCAGGTTTGGTATCGTTGATGCCGGCTTTAGAACTCGGGGAAACTCGGGTAAAAGTCATTGATTATCTGGGAACGGTAATACTTAGGGAGTTCGTAACTGTCACTTCAATGTTTCATTATGTTTGGCTCGCTAATGATATATAGGCTAGTCTCCATACTTTTATCTCTTTGAGTCTCAACTCGACGCACCAACAAAACTTTCTGGCAGCTTGACCCCCAGCAGCTTCTCAGCATTCCCATAGGCAATCGCCTTGAGCTGCTCTTCATCCACGAGGCCACTCTTCTCCAGCTCCTTAATCCACTCCAGCCCGGACTCGTTCGACAGGAACGGATAGTCAACGCTGTACAGAATATGGTCCAGCTTGGTGTTGGCCAGGATACACCGCAGCGGATCCAGACTCCAGTTCCCACTCGTCGTGATCCAGATATTCTCCCGATACACCGTCTCAAAATCCCGCTCAAACGTACCCCATCTCCGACTCAGCGCCTGAATCCGCTGCAACATAAACGGCAACATCTCCCCCATATGCCCAATCACAATCTTCAACCCGGGCCGCCGATCAAACAACCCCGACGCAAACAACCGCATCACATGCACCGCCGTCTCACTATGCCACCCAAACCCGCTCGACGCCATACTCACCGCCGCCGCCTCCCCAAACCCGCCCCTATACCTCCCCATCATCCCCCTCACTGGGCCAATTCGGATGCAAATACACCGGCACGCCCAGCTCCTCCACCGCCTCCCACCACACCCTATACTCCCCGCAACCGCATGTCCCTGTCCGGCGAGCCGCTCTGCTGAACAAACGGGCCGCCACCGAATGAGCCGAGTTTTATGGAACATGATTCTTGGTGTATGCATGCTCCCTTCCGCCTTATCGTAGAAAACCAGGTTTTGCCTGGCATCATTACAGGTCCCGACTGCAAACCCTTGCCCATTTACTATTCTTGCCGCTGTTTTGTGCCTCGAGTTACTCGACCGCACGATCTAGAGATAGCCGTTCTGCCTCTTGTTTGCCTTCCTCCGGACGAGCTGGAAAATGGGGATGAATCCGATCATCAGCCCCCACTTCTTCACTCGGAACGCTCATCAACTACAT